TCTGTGTCCAGAAGTTGGACTTCATCCCTGTTTTCCTAAAAACAAACAACTGAAGCTTTAAAAAATTTGATCTTTTCACTCTTGCATCAAAGCATCACAGCAGGACTTTTGGAAACAACCATTTCAAATTTAGATTCTCCTCCTTTTCTCCGCAGAAAGCAGTCAAGATCACGCCCTCATCGATCTGCTGGCAGGCCTGGAGGATGACGGCTTCCACCGGTCCCCCCTCAGACAGGCCTCTAAGTCTCATTCGCTGGCTGGCGCAGCAGCCTACCACTGTAATAGTGATGAAGAAGAAGCCGGGCCGGAGCTGGCGAAGGAAGAGGCGGAGCTCAGTATGATCATGTCACAGCGGTGGGACAGCGAGCGCCATGGGAGAACCGACCCGCTGAGGCAAGTCTTTTTCTCTGCTTGAGGGAGGAAATGTTCACAGCTCAGCCTCCCTGCTGGTGGAGGCAGAGAGCCACTGACAGTGAGCCAGGCTCTGCTCTGCAGGGGGGATCGTCCTGTAAAGGCTGGTGGCTGCAAACTTGGTGACTTCATGCAGACAGCTGCGTCTCCTAGGAGACTTTATTTAATTTTTTTTTATTTTGGCTTTAAATTAAACACTTATTGCCAGCTTTGTATTTCTCTGATTATGTTTAGGTATCTGTTGTAAAATGTGGCTTAAGACAATATGTGATATAATAACAGAAATGAAACCGTCTCCACAGGCCTGGAGTCAGGGATGCAGAGGACGGCTTCAGCGACGAGCAGCAGGAGTCCTCTGACGAAGACATGGATTGGAGCGGGAACCATTCCCTGTTTGCCGATCTGTCCATCCCGCAGCTGGATGGGGCGGCGGACGAAAGCAGCGGTGAGAAGCCAGCCTCTCTAGCACCGGCTCAGGTGTTCCGGTCACTTCACGGCCCACCTGAAGTCCATCATCTAGGCCGGCAGGCTGCTTCTGCAGACATTAGTGAGAGGAGGAGGTTTCCTCAGTGGAGGGTTAGGGGTGTTATGATAAAGTGAAGGTTAGCTGAAATGCTGAGGGTACAGAGATTAAGCTCTAATGCTGAGAAAAAAAGTCAGTTCTTCTAGAGATACCTGTGTTTACCCTTGATTTGAGCAGGGTGCATTAAATTTAGCTATTTTAGAGGTTCCAGTTATCCATCAGGGCTGATTCTATTTGCAGTTTATTATCAGGTTGTGTAAAACGGACCGGTTTGCTTTTCCATCAGCAGAGTTGGAGCATCATCACTAGTCCTGATAAATATTAAATTCAGTTAATGGTTGGTTTCCCTGTTCAATCTCAGGCATAGAGTCAATTTAACCTTGCTAATAAATACATATATATTCAATTCAGTTAATTTCCAGAGTGCCAACTCACAACACGTCATTTAGAGATACATTTCAACCAGTCAAACATACAGCCATACAGTCAAATTGATTCAAAGTTTTCTATCTAAGGAAAACCAGCTGATTGCATCGACTCATTGACTCGAAGGAAATCCCTCACACTAAGCATGCTTGTAGCGACAGTGGAGAGGAAAAACTCCCTTTTAACAGGAAGAAACTTCCAGCAGAAGCAGTCTAAGTGTGAGCGACCATCTGCTGAGGCCGACTGGGGTTCAAGGAGACAGAAGCAGACATAGAAAAGGCAACTGTTAAAGGCGACTCTATCCAGGAAACACACAGCCAGGCAGTCACAGTCAGAGAAACAGGACTACACTATAAAACAGGCCGTCTCACTTCCCATGGAGTATGTAGTACGCTTTAGAGTGAAAGCTTTTAGGCCACGCCTCCTGGTTCAACATTAATGTCTGACCTCGGAGAGGCCAGAGGGAAACCTTTCCAGAGCAGCTGAAGCTGTCATCCCCATGGACCAGAAAGAGGAACTGGACGTTTCTAACCGTAACCTGATAGAGCAGCGGTTGTAACCCCCACAGACCATTTTTAGCTTATTATCCAATCATTATTCCAAAGGTAGAGTAGACAAAGCAGCTCTGAGGTCAGGCTCCACGTCCAATCTCTTTGTGTTTTCCTTTACCTGAACCAGAGCAGAACTAATTTGACCTTTTTTTCCTCCTCTCTTTGCTCCTAGATTCCTCCTTAACGGACACAGGCTCCATGTCTCAGTCCTCGCTTACAGTCACAGAGAAGCTGTTGGGACAAAACAGCCCTTGCACAGGAGAGAGCGTCCACCTGGAGCCGCCTTCGCCCGCTAAGATCCTGCTGTGCAAGCATCCTGAGCACCGGCCAGGCCGCGTGTTGGACACTGAAGAACAACTCGAAAACCCCTTTCAGTTGAAAAGCAGCCAGGACGGAGCTAGTGGGTGTTCTGCAGGTTTCAGGGTCAATAAAGAAATCCCGTACATCTTGCCAGTAAAGCACCCGATTCCTGGTAAAATATCCGCCCACTCCGAGGTCTCTCCCATTTGCATGGACAAAGAGGACATCCGTCCTTTGTATGCGTGTAACAAGAAGAGCTCCAAACCCACAGATAAGGTTGAGCTGGAAGGCTTCCCCTTTGCTGCTGGAAAGGTGTCAAAACACAGGAAGCAGTACAGCAGCCTGGAGACGGTGGAGGCTAAAAGTTTGTCAATTTTCCAGAAACACAGCACCATCTCCCTCTGCTACCCGGACCTCAGAACCTGCTCTGCCAAGACGGAGCTGGAGTTGAGCACTAAGGAGAGAAAAAGCCCGATCCTGAGGAGCATCACCTCAACGCCGTCGCTCATGAAGGACGGCGAGTTCAGGGATCCCAGGGAGGAGGAAATGGCCCCAGAAAGCGAGGAAGGAGATGTCGGGGAACTCAAAATCCGATACGAAGACTACCAGGAAAATAAAACCGAGCGGACTATCGTGGCCCAGCAGGAAGCGCACTACAAGTTCTTCCCCAGTGTGATCCTCTCCAACTGTCTCAACAGAAAGAAAAGCGGAAACAAAAAGCCGGCGGACGCCTGCTGTAAACCAGAGCCATCCCCGCCTTGCAAGTTGAAGCTAAAACTTCCTAAAAAGAGGTTAGGAATGGCCGGCCATAGGAGCAAAGCACTGATGTGTCAGAGCCTGTCCTCTGACGGCCCGGTTAGCACAGAGCTCTCCTCCACAACGCCTGCTTTACACGATTCAGAGACCGAGGGGCCAATTTCAGAGGACCAACCAGAATCACAGGCCGAGGCAGATAAAGAGGCCGAGCCCGTCGTAAACAGGGAGTTGGATGGTGAGAAGAAGCCTGTCATTGACCCGATAGAACCAGAGGCGGTCGTCTCCAACCTCACCGTCGAGTCCTCTTCTTGCGAAGAAGCCAAAGAAACAACCGAAGAGAATCTGAGCCTTGATCCGCCTTCATCTGCTAAAGTTAGGCACACTAAACCGTCAACACTGCCAGGAAGTAAATACAAGCTAAGGGCGAAACGGAAAATGACCCCTGATGGCGACAGCGAGGACCACCCAGTTTCCAGTTGTTCCAAAAAGCCGGGCAAGCTTCCCGGGTGGCAGGAGACCAAGCAAAACAAGAGACGCAAGAGGGAGCCTCCTGTCATCATCAAGTACATCATCATCAACCGGTTCAAAGGACAGAAGAACATGTTAGTGAAGATGTCCAAAGTGAGCGCTGAGGAACAGCAGGTTGTTCTGACTCCTGACAAAATGGAGCGTTACAATAAACTGGCTCCTCTGAAGAGTTTCTGGCCTAAAGTACCAGAGTCCACAGCTGTCAGGTTTCCCATCAAAGAGCCCAAAGCTAAAAAAGCACCCAAACGGAAAACGAGGGTCAACAATGCCAACAAGAACCTGATCAGCGGCTCCCCCAAAACGCCCGCGACCAAACGAGGAAGGATGAGACGGACTAAAGGCTGCCCAAGGCGGCCGGTTCTGCCCTCCCTACCTCCACCTCGGCCGTCTTACTGCGAGCTTGCGGACGATACCGAGAAAGATTACGCTGATGTCATGGTAGAACTGGGCTATCTGTCAGACCGATCCCCGAGCCCCACTGAATCCACGCCGCCGCGCTGCTGGTCCCCGAGCGAGCCTTCCCTGAGCTGCTCAGAGAAGCTGATCAATCCGCTCAGTGACCCGTGTCTTAGTTCTGCTCCTCAGAAGCCTGCGACCAAACGAGCCCGAAACGCCAAAGCTAAGAGGTCCGCCAACTCTAAACAGACAGCAAAAGGGTCCGCCAAGTCCTCGGAGGCACAAGAGCCCAAAGTGGAGAAATCCAGAAAACGAAACGCCGCTACTCCAAGGCAGAGGAAGAAAGCTAAAGATGGAGCGGAAAGTCCTGCAACGTTTCCGCAGCCCAGAAGGTCCCGCAAGAAGAAAACCAGCGATTCATGTAGAGCAGACTCCCAGCAGCGGGTCCCTCCACCGAAGGATTCCCCTAAAGAAGTTCCTCCATCTCAGCAGCCATTAGGCCCCAACCACAGCAGCGCCAACAGGGAGTCCACTCCTGCTCCCTCGACCAGCTTCGTCAAGCCGAAGGCGGAGGACTGTGAGACCTCCATCATGGAGGCCAACCAAAGTCTGCTGGCTCCGGTAGAAGTGAAGCAGCAGGGCTGTCAGACCGCCGTGGTGAAAGCAGAGTCCTTCCCGGAGGAGAGCGCCGCCCCTCAGCCTGAAGATGTCAAGAGAGAAAACGGTTTTCCTAAAAACGGGGAGGTCCCTCCTCTCCCTGAGGTCTCTGGCCTGGCGGTGCTGAAGCAGCTCCTCCAGAAGAGGCAGCAGGGCCAGGCGCTCCCTCTGCAGGCGGTCGGCACAGACAGACACGCTGCCGCCCTCGCTCAAGCCGCAGTGCTGCTAAACCCCTCCGCCAAACCCATCAGGACCCCTGCTACTGCTCCTCGTAAACCCCGCGCCCCGAAATCGGCCGCTTCCAAAGAGAAAAGGCCCAGAACCAGGAAAGCCAGGACCAGCTGCACTCAGCCGGAACAGCCAGGGAAGCAGGACGGCAGCACGTCTGATGACTGCCTTCTCTTCTCCTCCGCTCCCAGCCTCGCCAGCTGCAACTTCATAGAGGACAGCCTGTCCCCCGAGCTGCCCGCCGCCTACACCTTCGACATTAACACCATCCACCAGGCAGAGTTCTCTAGCCCCTACAGCGGTAGTCAGTTCGTTTTGACCGATAAAAACCTCCCCGTCAAGTTCCTCAGTGACATCTGTCAGGAAGCGCCGCCTGCTCAGACGAAGTGCGTGGAGGAGCTCCCTCAGGGCAAAACCCATCGAGGCTCGGACGTGGGCGGCGCCAGGGCAGCCAGTCCAGAACTCTTTGACAGCTCTGGGAACAGAGAGCCTTCGGCGGACATCACCTCCCTGGATTGTGAGAGGCAGAGGGAGTGGGACCGGTCTCTGTTCAAACCTCACATCCTCAGCCCCTTCCAAGACTTCCACTGCGAGAGGAAAGAGCTCCTGTTCTCCGCCTTCGACCCCGTCATCCCTCTGTCTCTGAGCTCGGTGTCGTTCATCGACCAGGAGGGCTCCCCGACCAGCGAGCTCCAGGAGAGCATCGATGGGCTGACGTCCACCACGCCCAGCAGCTCCCCTCACTCTATAAGCTCGCTATCACAGGCTAGGGGAGGCCAGCTTCACCGGGGGGCCGCAGGCGGAGCCTACGTCCTCAAGCCGCTCATGTCCCCTCCCAGTCGGGAGGAGATCCTCAGCACGCTCATGGACCTGGACATGTCAGAGGCTACTTTCCAGGAGCCCTTCTGCAGCGACCCCTCTGACATCCCAAGCAGGCCAATGTGAGTTAAGCTCCGCCCCCCTAAAGTCCGGTGTTTCAGTGTTAGAGGAACTCCTTTATGAAGGAAAGGTCTCTAACTGCAGGGAGTTAAACTAAGCCCTGATCACAACCTGCTGTTCACACCGCCATCATTCAGCCCTTCCTTCCTTCCTTCCTTCCTTCCTTAGTACCTTTCCTTCTTGTGTAACTGCAAGAAGGAAATCACAACTTCACTCATTTTTTCTTCCCTTTCCAACCTCACTTCCACACATCTGTGCATTCTTATTCTCTTCTTTCCTTGTTTCCTACCTTTCTTCCTTGTGTCCTACCTTCTTCCTTGTGTCCCACCTTCTTCCTTGTGTCCTACACTTCTTCCTTGTGTCCTACACTTCTTCCTTGTGTCCTACACTTCTTCTTTGTGTCCTACACTTCTTCTTTGTGTCCTACCTTTCTTCCTTGTG